CCCCCAAAACCCCAAAACCCCATAGGAAAAGAAACTTTAGAATCAAGAAAAATCTTAATCAAATAAAGAAATAGATACCAATAATCTTAATTTTCAGATGATTGAATAAGAGAGTAGTTTCATCTGTCAGTAGCTTAAATTACCAAAAGCAGCTTAATAATTATTTATCTATATCCACTGCCCAAGATAACTTAAAACTTTTCAGCTCATTCAGTCTTCTTAGATCCTCTCAGACTCAGCTAAACCTCTTTATAAAAGCGAGTTTCTCCTTTATGAATCTCAGATTTTCATAGCAATCAGTCTCTTCTTATATTTCAGTCTTATTTGGCGATTAAAAAGTACTAATCTATTGATTATACATTCCCAGGAGATTTTTTATCTTCAGCTAAGTTAAGATTTATGTACTTTGACGAAATACTTGTTCCTATTTTTAGATTAATCTGGACTATTTTATTGCATTAGATAGAGTGCCAATCAATGGCTAGTTTGAATTGGAATTAGAGTGATTCAAACTACCAGCCATTTGCATTTAAACTGGAGTCTCTAACTGAGTTTTCTAGGACTGCAAGTCATTCGTATTTGTGCTGCTACTATAAGTTCCGCAGTTCTTATCAGAGTTTTACTTCGAATGACTGCTGTTAAGAACATTGAAAACATCCAACTACTTAGAGGGAAGAATAGTATTTTAATGTTGATTATCCTCCTCTTCTTCATCATTGCACAAATCTATCATCTAGGGTTAGTTATTAGTTGTGGTGCTTTTGATGCTTTTGTCTACACAATTTTATGCATTCTCTAATTTGATAGGCGCCTTCGCTACAACACTTCGATTTAGTAGAGGGTGACTGCTAAGAGACTATGAGTAGAGAGTGGGCTGATCTTGCTTTTATCGTTTTAGTACTTCATTCTGAGGGCTTTCTGAGGACTCCAGGGAATTCTATCTAGTATTATCTTATCTTTTCCTCTTACCAAGCGCAGGGAAACACGGCGTGGATTCTATCTGCCTATTGAAGTATGGTTATAAATTGAATGATTTATTACTCTTAAGAATATTATGATACATTAAAGATATTCTAGTTGCTTTGTCTATTGACAATAGCAGTATTAGGAGAGTTTAGCTCAACTCTATTTTTGTTGCTCGCTCTTATTTGGTTGCTGCTCTAATCGGGATCACTTTGAGGAGGAATGTGAGTCCTTACTAATGAAGATGTAGATTGGATATGTATGAATTTAGAAAGGATACTCGAGACACGATCCCTAACCTTTTAATTTAGATCTAAGCATTTCTAAAAAGACCTCAAGCCTTTAATCATCTCAATCTGAAATGGACTTAGCTCTTTCTAAAAATCTAGCACATCATTGTTGGCAAGTTATCTCTGTTTTTACTGCCTTTGACCAAAAAGATTATTTGAGTCTATGGCTTTTTCCATCAGATTCAGGCATATACTCAGTTCGGACTCCTCAAATCTCTCTTTCATCTCTTACCTAAGGCTAAGTTAATGAAGTGTCACTTACAATTTCCATAGTTTTAACAGGGATTGCTCAATGTTTCCCATGTCAAAAAGCACTGGGTAGTGCCCATGCACTTTGACTGTCTTTATGGGAGTAATATATGCGATAAATGTGAGGCTAGGCTTTTCTGGACCCACAGACTCATCAGTACTCTGCTGCTGCATTCCATTTTGAGCAGACTGAGCTGAAGAAAGAGTATGAGTAGCTCTTATGTTTTAATTAACTAATTTGTGACTTTAATTCATTATAGTTCAAATTAAAACAATCACTTTTTATTTATTTGCTAGAAATTGCCTTGGCTAATTTGGACTAAATTTATGATCGCGGGGTTTTGGGGTTTTGGGG